CGACTGGCGGGTTCACGTATGTGGCCGCGGGCGCGATTGACCAGGTGCAGCCTGCGTCTGGCCAGTTTGGGACGCGCGTGACGATCAACGGGACGAACCTGCTTGGAGGCGGGTCGTCTGCTGCGACTGTGCGGCTTGGCGGCGTTGCGGCGATGGTTGTGTCTGGGACGTCGACGGAGGTGGTTGTTGTTGCTCGGAGCGGGAGCGCCGGTGTTGGCGACGTTGAGATTGTGGCTGACACGGGGGCTGTTGTGAGCAAGAGCAACGCGTGGGAGCAGCTTGAGGATGGCGTGATTACGAGCGTTGTTCCGGCGCAGGCGCAGAAGGATGCGCGCGTGACGATCCAAGGTGCGCGGCTGCTGGGCGGCGGCCAGGACATTGCGCGGGCTGTGCTTGCTGGCGTTGATGCGACGTACGAGAGCGGGAGCGGCAGCGACACGGAGGTAGTTGTTGTGGCTGCGCTTGGCACGGCTGGTGCGAACGGCAGCGTGCTGCTTGTTGCTGACACTGGCGCCGAGGTGTCTCTTTCGCTCGGGTTTGAGTATGTTGCGCGCGGGAGCATCAGCAGCGTGGAGCCGAGCACGGGCTCTGCGGGGACGCTTGTGACGATCAGCGGCAGCAACCTGCTGAGCGGCGGCGCGAGCATTGAGGGCGTGACGCTCGCTGGTGTTGCAGCTGCACAGGTTGTGAGCGGCAACGACACGGTGATTGTTGTTGAGGCAGGACAGCAGTCGAGTGCGGTGAGCGGGATGGTTGTGACGACCTCTGACACTGGCTCGACGAGCGTGCTGTCGAGTGGGACGGCGTTTACGTACATTGCGCCCCCGAGCATCGACACTGTGTCGCCTGCGAGCGGGCAGGAAGGGACGCGCGTGACGCTGAGCGGGCAGAACCTGCTGTGCGGCGGGTCGAGCGTGCGCACTGTGACGCTTGCGGGCGTTGCTGTTGGCACGGTTGTGAGCGAGAGCGACACGTCTGTTGTTGTTGACGCTGCGCCCGGTGCTGCTGGCAATGGCAGTGTGCGGATTGAGGCTGACACGGGGGCGTTTGTTGAGCTTGCTGATGGCTGGACGTACATTGAGGCTGGCAGCGTAAGCAGCGTTGAGCCTGCGACTGGGCAGCGTGGGTCTGTTGTTGTGATCCGCGGGACGAACCTGCTTGGCGGCGGCAGCGACGTGTCGAGCGTGACGCTTGCCGGCGTTGAGGTGACGTCGATTGACAGCGCCAACGCGACGGTTGTCGTTGTTGTTGCTGGCGGCCGGAGCACGGCTGGCGCTGGGGACGTTGTGCTGATGTCTGACACGCGGGCGACGGTGACTGCGAGCGGGGCGTTTACGTACCTGGAGCCTGGCAACATCACGAGCGTGAGCCCGAGCGTGGGCCAGGACGGCACGCGGGTTGTGATTGAGGGCGAGCGGCTGCTTGGCGACGGGGACAATGTGATGAGCGTGACGCTGGCTGGGGTTGCGGCGACGGTGACTGGCGCGTCGCAGAGCCAGATCAACGTGACGGCGCATGCGTCGACGGCCAAGACGGGCGACGTCGTTGTTGTTGGCAACACGGGCATCATTGTGAGCAGCACCAACGCGTGGACGTTTGGCACGCCTGGTTACGTTGAGGGTGTTGATCCTGGGCGTGGTGTTGCTGGCACGGAAGTGCTGATCTATGGCAACAACCTCCGTGGCTCTGGGTCGCGCGTGGCGAGCGTGATGCTTGGCGGCGTTGAGGCGCAGATTCTGGAGCAGACCAACTTCTTTGTGCGGGCTGTGGCCGGGAGCGGCGGCGTCGCTGGTGTTGGCGGCGTTGAGCTGACCGCTGACACGGGCGCGCTGGTGACCCGCGGCAACCTGTGGGAGTATGTGGCTGATGGCAACGTGACTTTGGTTGAGCCTGTGCAGGGCACGACTGATACGTTGGTGACGCTGCGCGGCACTTCGCTCCGCTCTGGTGGGGAGTCTGTTGCGCAGGTGCTGCTTGCTGGCCTTGCTGCGACCATTGTGTCTGAGAACGACACTGTGGTTGTGGTGCGTGCAAGCGCGCCGCAGGTGAGCACCAACTTCTCTGGCTCTGTTGTGCTTGTGAGCGAGAACGGTGCTCGGTTGACTGCGGATTCCACCTTCACGTACGTTGCGGCGAGCACCATCTACAGTGTGCAGCCGAGCAGTGGCCAGGCCGGCACGCGCGTGACCATTGGTGGTGTTTCCCTGCTTGGCGGCGGAACTGGCGTGACTGTGATGTTTGGCAACACTGCTGCTAGCGTGCAGGTGCAAACGAGCACGCAAGTTGTGGCTGTTGCTGGCGCTGCGAGCGCTGGTGTCGTGGATGTGATGCTGCAAAGTAACACTGGCAGCAGCGTTGTGCGACGCCGCGGGTTCCGTTACACGGCTGCGGCGAGCGTGACTGACATCACACCGCCGAGCGGCCAGGTTGGGACGCGGGTGACGATTGTTGGCAGCGGTCTGCTTGCGGGCGGCAGCAGCGTGTCGAACGTGACGCTGGCCGGGGTAGCTGCGGAGAGCGTTGTGAGCGCCAACGACACGAGCGTCGTTGTAGTTGCAGGGAGCGGCAGTCCCGGGAACGGCAGCGTGACGGTGACGGCGGACACGGGTGCGTCGTACAGCAGCGACAGCGTGTGGACGTATGTTGAGGCGAGCACGATTGACAGCTTTGCACCTGTGACTGGCCAGGAGGGCACGTATGTGACGATCCGTGGGCAGCGGCTGTTTGGCGGCGGCAGCACGGTTTCGCGCGTTGCGCTTGCTGGCGTGGATGCTGCGGTGCAGGCTGGCGGCAACAGCACGTATGTAGTGGCGCGTGCAGCAGCGAGCGTTGCTGGCGCAGGCCGTGTTGTGGTTGAGAGCGACACTGGAGCGCGGGCTGTTGCGACGGGCGACTTTACGTATGCGGACGCGGGCGTTGTGACGACGCTGATGCCAGCGAGCGGGCAGCGCGGGACGCGTGTGACGATTGTTGGCGAGCGGCTGCTTGGCGGCGCGATGTCGCCGGCTGTTGTGCGGCTTGGCGGCCGCGCTGTGATGAGCGTTGTGAGCGCCAACTCGACCATGGTTGTGGTGCGGGCGTCGAACGGCACGGTTGGCACGGGCGACGTTGAGATTGAGTCTGTGAGCGGGGCCATTGTGCGCGGCGTTGGGCTGTGGGAGCAGCTTGCCGAGGGCCAGGTGACGGGCGTGTCGCCATCACGCGGAGTGAGTGGCACGCGCGTGACCATCACGGGCACGAGTTTGCTTGGCGGCGCGACGTCGCTGGCAAGCGTGACACTGAACGGGGTCAGCGCCAACATCACGGGAACGCCGAGCAACACGCAGGTTGAGGTTGTTGCTTTGACTGGCACGGCAGGCGTTGGCGCGGTTGTGCTGACAGCGGCAAGCGACGCGTTTGTGCAGCTGGCTGACGGGTTTGAGTACCTGGAGCCGGGCAACGTGACGCTTGTGTCGCCGAGCTCTGGCCAGGTTGGAACGCGGGTGCAGATCCGAGGCGAGCGGCTGCTGTCTGGGGGCAGCACGGTGGAGCGTGTGCTGCTGGGCGGCGTGCCCGTGAGCTCGATCAACGAGACGCAGAGCAACACGCTGATTGAGGCTGTTGCTGCGCGCGGGGCGGCGACGAACGGAGCAGTGGACGTTGTGCTTGAGATTGACACTGGTGCCGTGGTGCGCGCGCCTGCTGCGTGGGAGTACCTGGCTGAAGGCGTGGTGACGGCGGTGACGCCCGACTCTGGCGTGTCTGGCACGCAGGTGACGATCAACGGCACCAACCTGTTGGGCGGCGGCAGCAGCGTATCGTCGCTGCTGTTTGGCGGCGTTGCCGTGGAGCGCGTGGTGTCTGTGAGCGCTGAGTCGATTGTGGCCGTGCTTGGCACCGGCATGTCTGGCGTGCTTGACGTTGAGATTGTGTCGAACACGGGAGCCGCGGTGAGCGGCAGCGGCGTGTTCACGTATCTTGGCGATGCGCGGATCATCCTTGTGGAGCCACCGCGTGGCCAGCTCGGCACGCGCGTGACGATTACCGGCACCAACCTGCTTGGTGGCGGCAGTGCGGTTCAGAACGTGACGATTGGTGGCGTGGGCGTGTTGGAGGTTGTTTCGGGCACCGCCACGCAAGTGGTTGTGCGCGCAGGCGCCAACAGCAACCTGGGCCTGAGCACGATTGAGATCACGTCTGACAGCGGGGCGCGCGTGAGTCGCACGGAGACGTGGGTGTATGAGGTGGCCAGCGCCATCACGGACGTGACGCCGATGGCAGGCCAGCGGGGCACGGTTGTGCACATTTCTGGTGTGCGGCTGCTGGGCAACAACCCAGTGAGCGGGACGCAGATCACGACGGTGCTGCTTGGCGGACGGCCGGCGGCGGAGGTGCGTGTGAGCAACGCCACGGACGTGATTGCGGTGGCGCAGAACGGGACTGTTGGCGTTGGCGACGTGCTGCTTGAGGCGTCGAACGGCGCCCGGACGGTTGGTGCTGGGCTGTGGGAGTACCTGCAGGACAGCGCCGTCACGGCGGTTGTGCCTTCTGTGGGCCAGGTGGGCACGCGCGTGGACATTCGCGGCGAGCGCCTGCTTGGCGGCGGCAGCAGCATCACCTCTGTGACGCTGGCCGGGACACCTGCGATGGTTGTGAGCGGCAACGACAGCGTGGTGAGAGTGGTGGCTGCGTCTGCAACGGCGGGCACGGGCGACGTTGTTGTGACGTCTGACAGTGGCGCGTATGCTACAAGCAGCGGCGGGTGGATGTACGCTGTTGCGAGCGCCATTGGCAGTGTGACGCCGGCACAAGGCCAGGCATCGACCGTTGTGACGATTGCGGGCACGAACCTGCGCGGCAGTGGTGCAGCTGTTGCTTCTGTGACGCTGGTCGGGCAGGAGGCGACGATCCTGAGCGAGTCTGATACGCAGGTTGTTGTGCGGGCGGCCGTGTCTGCGCCTGGGCAGGGCGATGTGATTGTGACGTCGAGCAGCGGCGCGTACAGCACGCTTGTGAATGGCTTCACGTATGTGGAGGTTGGCACTGTGGACGTTGCTGTGCCAAGCAGTGGCCGCGAGGGAACGCGGGTGACCATCAACGGCACGTCTCTGCGTGGCGGTGGTGCATCTGTTGCCAATGTGACTGTGGTTGATGTTCCGGCAACGATTGTGAGCGAGAACGACACTGAGGTTGTGGTCGTGCTTGGTCAGGGCGTGGATGCGATTACAGTGGGCAACATTGTTGTGACATCGTCCAATGGCGCGATCATCACCAAGGTGAACGCGTTCACGTACGTTGACTATGGCGAGATTCTGACGGTGGATCCGAGCTCGGGACAGGCTGGCACTGTTGTGAACATTGCTGGTGTGAACCTGTGCGGCGGAGGGTCGGCTATTGCGGCTGCGACGCTTGCTGGGTTTGAGGCGACGGTGGTGAGCGACAACTGCAACCTTCCGCGCCTTGAGGCTGGCGATCTTGGGGCAAGCACGGTTGGCGATGTTGTTCTCATTGCGGACACGGGCGCTGTTGTTGTGGCGACCAATGCCTGGGAGCAGCTGTCTGCGGGCAACATCACGTCTGTGTCGCCGGGAACAGGCCAAGCGGGCACGCTTGTGACGATCCGCGGCACCAACATCCTGGGTGGCGGGAGCAGTGCGACGTCCATCTCATTGAGCGGGGTGCCTGCGTCCATTGTGGGCACACCGACATCGACACAGGCGGTTGTGCGCGTGAACCCTGGGCCAAACAGCCGCAGCGAGGCTGTTGGAGACGTGACCATTGTTGGCAACAACGGGGTGACGGTGCGCAAGCTGGATGCGTGGACATACAGTGTTGTGGACAGCATCTCGCCTGGCTCTGGCCAGGGCGGCACGCGCGTGACGATTGACGGTGTTGGGCTGCTCGGTGGTGGCACGGATGCCACGGCTGTGCGGCTGGGCACTGTGTCAGCGACAGCCATTGAGCTTGCCACGGCGTCGCGCGTCGTTGTGCGCGCGGGGGCCAACACCAACACGGCTGACACGAACGTGACTGTGACGATTACGGCTGACAACGGGCAGACTGTGGAGAGTGTGACGGGTGCTGACGGCAGCATCCGCGCCGAGTTCCTGTACAAGGTCGCTGGAAGCATCAGCAGCGTGAGCCCGGCGCAGGGGCAGGTGAACACGAGCGTGACGATCCGCGGCACGAACCTGTTTGGGTACGGCGCGTCGCTTGCGAGCGTGTCGCTTGCGAGTGTGCCGGCAAGCATTGTGACCCAGAACAACAGCGTTGTTGTTGTTGAGGCTGGCGCGTCGATGGCGACGGCAGTGTCTGCGGTTGAGCTTGTTGCTGACACTGGCGCTGTTGTGAGCCTGTCATCGTCGTGGCGGTATGTTGCGCCCTCGAGCATCAGCGGAGCAACGCCTGGTGTTGGGCAGGGTGGCACGCGGGTGACGGTGACGGGTGTGTCGCTGCTTGGCGGCGCGACGACGCTGCGGGACGTGACGCTTGCTGGCGTGTCTGTGCGCGAGATTGTGTCGTTCAACGACACGCAGGTAGTGGTGGTTGCGGCAGCGCACGGGAGCGCGGTGTCTGGGGATGTTGTGGTGCAGTCTGCCAACGGGGCGTTTGTGAGCCTGGTTGGCGGGTTCAACTACAGCGAGCCTGGTGCTGTTGCGAGTGTGAGCCCCGACAGCGGACACGCGGGGACGCGCGTTGTGATTGAGGGCACACGGCTGCTCGGGAGCGGGTCGAGCCTTGTGTCTGTGACGCTGGGCGGCGTGAGCGTGGCTTCGATTGTGAGCGGGAACAACACGCGCGTTGTTGTGGTTGCGGCTGCTGGGAGCGCCGGTGCTGGGGACGTTGTTCTGACGGCCAACACTGGTGCGGAGGTGATTGCGACTGGCGGGTTCACGTATGTGGCCGCGGGCGCGATTGACCAGGTGCAGCCTGCGTCTGGCCAGTTTGGGACGCGCGTGACGATCAACGGGACGAACCTGCTTGGAGGCGGGTCGTCTGCTGCGACTGTGCGGCTTGGCGGCGTTGCGGCGATGGTTGTGTCTGGGACGTCGACGGAGGTGGTTGTTGTTGCTCGGAGCGGGAGCGCCGGTGTTGGCGAC